TAGCCTGAGACGATGTTGTTTGGTTCTCACTTCCTCGTCTTCAGAGCTAGAGTGGGTACTCTCTAGTGAGGTACTGGTATGACGATTACCAAGGTCGTGATTACCAGGGTTAGATGGTAAATGAGGATCGATGTTATGAGGGTGGTAAGCCTCGTCGATTTCCATACGATCATAGTCTCTGACAGGGTTAGGATGGTCGATTGTAGCTTCCGAGCTATAGAGATTAAATCTTGAGGTTTTACCCACTTCACCAGCGGTAACTGGCTCAGTGGTAACCCTGCTGGCTCTCCTTTTTTGCATTCAGATATCGGTGCTGTTTCATTTGTGCAGCGTGTGCATCTGAGGCCCGGTACCTTGAAAGGGTCTGTGGGTTTGTGAGTATATACACCCATGCATACTGCCGTGAAGGATACATGCTATAATAAAGCTGATTCTTATGTAAGTTCAATGACGTACTGCGAGAAACAACTAGAATCTGTCAATGCATACGGTGATTTAGTAAAGAGGATAAGGTTTATTGAAGACAAAACAGATGTCTTGATCCCGAGTAGCGAACCAATTCAGACGACTAATTCAGTATGTACGATTCTACGGACGCGTGGTGACTATCTACTTAATAATTCGAAAGACAGAGAGAGATATGCGCTCTACTATTTTATTGCTGAGCAAACAGAAATGTTGGAAACCGAAAGGTACAAGCGATGATTTCCAGAAAACTCGCTCGTTTTGGCCTACGTATACCAGATGCTAACACGCTCGCCAAAGAATTATAAAGTGGTAAGGGAGCATTCTCCGTTTGCATTCCTTCCTGATGTACGCACTATTTTTTCTCAAGGTAATAGTGATGCTTTACCTGCTGACTGCGTATTTGCAGGTACAGGTTCAGCTCATGCCGCTGCATTATCGAAAATCATAAACGTGCGGGCAACCAAATCATTGAGCAAGTATTCTGATAAACTAGATATGAGCATAATCAGACGCAATTACATCACACGAACCGCAGTGTATGTTCTCCACATCGATGAGGTCAACATACGCCCCACTAACAATTACACGAACAAGACCGGTTCTTTAGGTCCTGCTCACAATAATCCGGATATGCTTACAAATCATATGCAAGTATTTGTAACGTCAGCGCTGAGCGGTCCGAAGATGTCTCTTGCCCTAATGGCTCGGCCTGTGGTAAAACAAACCGGTGAGGAACTATTAGCGTATTCAACAGAAGCTATCGCGAAAAGTCAAGAAGCTAATGCAATGAACTGCCCTGTCATTTTCGACGGGCGCAGTGTAAATAGAAAGGCCATGCGTTTATTGGTTTTACAGAATACAGATCCGGAACCTCCTGGGCGCCGCTCAGCCCTCCCACAGCAGCGCTTGCCAACATCTGTGAACGTAAATGGGCTGGAGTTGTTTACTGTGTTTTGTTTGATACTCATAGTGAAGTGTATACGAAAACAATCTCGTTCGTAAATGGCATGTTTTTAAATACCCAGAAATGGGTTTGTCGACTGGGTATAAACTTCCTAAGGGTACGTGCGATATCGTATGGGTTCATCGACTTTGTAAGATTCGGTCTAATAAAGGCGATACTAATGCCTTAGAATAAATAAACGCGTAGGTAAATTCTATATATCGTGTAAATGTCGATATAAATAAACGAAATGAGACGTTTAATAAGGTTAGGTTTGCCTCGTGAAAACAGCTATATTCTGAAGGATTGCGAGGCTGAGACATTGCCTATATATAATCCTCTCAGTACTGTTTCCGCCGAAGGGATTCTATTTAGTATTTCGTTGTCGCTCTATTCTGGGGCGAATCCAAAAGACTCATAAAATCCTATCTTTAGAAAAAATATATAATAGATCAAAATACTCTTGACGTCCTTAGTTATTATCTTAACCAATAGCTTGCCACTATCAAGAATTACCGACTTAGCCTTCATCAGACTGGCACATCTAGTTGGCTTATCAGAGGATCAACTAGGTAACGTTAATAGTCCCTAGAAACCTATATTCGGTTGAGCCATCTCGCTACCGAAGTATTCAGATATAAATAAAATTGGAAAGTGAATAAAGCTCTATTAATAGAACTAGGCCAGCTCTTTTATGTTTGGTACTTACTGAGGCCATTTAATGGCCTCATCCAAATATCTGATATGTTAAATGGAAATGGTTTAATTAATAAAACCATTAAAACCCATTTTAGGAAACTTAAGTTCCTCGTGCTATTAAGAGCAAATTTAGGAGACTTAAGTTCCTCGTATTATTAAGAGTACATTTAGGAAACTTAAGTTCCTCGTACTATTAAGAGTACGTTTACAATTTGTGTACTGCTTAAGAGTACGTTTATACATAGAGTCTAATGTGGAGGCCCGGCATATTACCACTTTACAACAAGTACAAAATTTTGCTTTTCTCACCAGCAAAAATTAATAGGGTCACAGTGTGGCCTAGAACTCCGGCAATAATTTGGAACTGAAGTTTCTGGTACATACTGGTTTTTTTGAAATGGCGAATGAATTTCTTATCACCCTATTTATCACAGTAAAATCCACAAAAGGAAAGCACAAGCGTTTACCTCGTGCTGATCCATTTACACATACGGCGGACTATCGTCTAACGCAAGCAGAGGAAATTGTTTCATGGCTGCAAGATTCTTGGTACAAAAATTTGAAGTATTATCGCCATATCTGACGACGAAGACGATAATGAAGACGACAAAGATTTAGAGGTAGAACTATCATCATTTAATTATATGCTTTACAAATTTTTACCAATTGTGTGCACTGTGAATTTGTTCATGCTGTGCTACTTTAGCACAGGCTGTATAATTGTATTCTTGCAATCTTTGTTGCAGGGAGAAGACTTGGACAGTATTCTAAACGACATTTCAGGAGGAAACAGCGAAAATAGCAACAACAGCCCGATTGGAACAAACAGTGGATCACAGTCAGGGGATTTTGCAGGTAATGTGAGTGAAAGTAATAGCGTTATAGGCAGTGTTAATAGCACACCTTATCACTCAAACCACACGGTCAGTAATTTAATTACGCCTGATCATACAAGTGTGAACAGTGTAGGTATTGCACAAAGCCTAGAAATAGACGTTGTCACAATCACTCCATTTACTTTGCAAACAAATGCTACAAACAATCCAATAATATGACATTGTCGCTTAATCGCAAATATCCAGCTACTATGGATACACTTAGTATAATGAAGGTAAATACAAAGTAAGGTCGACCAACATCGATACGCGGTACCGAAGGGTCTACGTACACACACGATAACTCGGGGAAGTGGACGACGGATCGGTGTATAGAAATATTGAGAAGTGTTGGTGCCCCACTTGGGGGTGATATGGAAATACTACTTAGTCGATGTATTCTATTAAAGAAACTACAGACTGTGCACCTAGGTTCAGTACTAGCTTTGAAGATCGACGATACGCACAAATTGTGCAATCGAATCGACCTCACCTTAGGTTCAAAGCTCGATATGGTAGAGCGCATCGGTAGAACATTGCTGAATCCTATAGCTCGCCAGGAACATGATGTGCTACTTTCAGAGCTAAGAGAGGATCGATCTTAAACAAATACATACATTAAACACGCACACTTCTTGTTACAAAATGGTCCTAACTAACCATCATAGTGTTTTCAGTACAAATTTTGTGTGATCAGACCAGCATGCATTTATTATCTATTTATTTATTTTGGAAAAAATTGAGAATTGCTAGGCGCCAATTTCTGCCACGCCTTTTGAGGATGTATGGCTTGTTCTATTTTCAGAAGGCTATGCCTATTTACTGAAAATTATATAAAATTATATTGTTTTTGTAATAAAAATAAGTAAATATTCTTTTGTTGTTTATATACTATTGTTTCTAAAAATACTATACATTTGCAGTACATATACAGTCATACCTATATATGTCCAGGTTCCGCCCAGGGCCAAAAATTGAGCATATATAGAGGTAGACATGTCTGGTTCAGGTACTACCTGTTAGGTGCATAGGACAGATATGGAGCTGATACCCTTTCTCTCACGATATTTACTTTTGCATGGACTTCGTTAGACAGACTGATAATTTTCTCTCCAGCGATCATAAACATCTGTATCATTTTTACTACTTATACCATACGTTGTATGTTCATCTTGTATGGCTGCTTTAATTAAATCACTGTTTTAGTTCTCTCTCCATGGCTTGCTCAAGTCATATTCAATCTTTTTGATAGTGCACACAACGACACCTTTATCGTTGCTTGTTAGATTAACTTTCTTTGCTTATATCTGACGCTTCATTTACCGCACACGATGCACCTTGTTTAGACGTAGATTGTGTCGTATAGTCTTCCTGTATTGCATCAGAATAAGTGATTGTCCGATCTAACAGTGATCTGCAGATGCAGATGGTGTCAATTCGTCTGATTGAATCGCTGTTGATGTATTTTGTGGCTTGCAATTATCTGTAGACAAGGAGTACCAGATCGAATTCGATCCGAATTCCTCACCAAGATGCACGCCACAAAAGGTTACGATCGCAGTACATTTGTGAGCACCTGATGTTGGTTTCGTGACCGTGCACCTTTTCGTGCAACAGCGATCTAAGCTAGAAGAAGTATCCTCCATGATGAAGAAGTATACCTATGGCGTATTCACTGTGTGTAGACTACACATATTTGTATGAAGCCTCACTGATATTGTATCCCGTGACCCACTCACGGCTGGGATGTAGGATCACTCTAGGAAATATTGATGACGAGTAAAAATTTAAACTGAGAGCTTCTGATTAATTAGTTCTAGGTAGAGGTAGACACTTAAAGAGGTAGAAATATGTTTTAGGACATATATAGAGGTAGACACTTACAGAGGTAGACATATAAAGAGGTATGACTGTAAATACTTATTTTGGATTTATAAATGAAATATATCCGTATTGTAGTAGAATATGATTTATTTTAATTTTATTAGCTTGTTGAAATTTGGAATTCTTAATTGTATTTGTATGCAAAATAATCTTAAATATAATTAAAGAAAAGTGCAAAATTGCAACCCGTGAGCGCCGAGCCTAAGCTCATTGCGTTTTGAGGATACGGAGTAGAAGCTGAACGTAAACGCATATTTATTCATCTTTACAACCTTATAACGGATAAAATATGATGAGAAGGGCTTACCTAAGTTATTTAGTAGGACTTGTTCATATGGTAAAAAACGTACACTCCAAAATATTTAGACCCGCAGGGTGCACCTGTTAGCATATAAAGAACCATATAAGGAGTAAAAGTTGAACGTAAACGTATATATATCCGATTTATAAAAGGTTTAACGGAAAAAGGGTTGAGATTAGCGGGCATGAAGCCAAGAGCCTTGATGTGATGTGATCACCGATCACACTGATCATTGTCATTTTTACTTTTTACTTTTTATTTTTGTTTTGACACGCTAATATCTCGTGAAGTTTTGGTGCTATGAACAAGGTGTAAAAACAACAATTGATCGGAAGTGTGTTATTAATCCGTCTCGAGTGATAAATTATGCTTTGGCCTATTTCTGCTTTTAAACAAAACTGCCCTGCCCCAAAATTCTGACCCGGTTAGTAGGCAATTTTTTAGTTAAAAAACAAATACAGTTCAGTATAATGTACAGAGGCGTCGAAGTTTCAAAAATAGGTTTGTTTATGTGGATCACTGGTGAGTGGTGACTGGATCTATTGTTGTTTTTTTTCTAAAAGAAGAAAAAAACCAAGGCTAGCGACAAATTTGAGGTAGAGTAAAGAGTATAACTGTCATCGGCGAAGTACTTTCCTTAGTCTGTTTCTACGTTCGATTCGACAATGAAATTTATTTGAATTGAAATATTGCTTTGCACTGATAGAATTCGAACTCCAGAATTGTTCTATGTATTTACAATAAAATTACAAATCTAGTTTTATTAGTGTTTTCATTAGAAATGTATTCCTTGTTTTTCCCGTAATATTTGATTTTTTTTTAGAACAAGAAAGAAAATAATATTTGTTTTCAGAAAACGATGCATTTTTGTATTTATTACATTTAGCATATGTTTGTTCATATTTAGGATTTCCAACAAAAAAAGGGTTTTAGGACCATATTTTTGAAAATCCTACGATTCGTAGGATTTCTGGGAAACGATATATTTTATAATTTCGTGTGTTTTCGCATAGCCTTCCAAAATTTAATTTTTTGACAGTTTTCGCCCTGTACAAATGTAAAATTTTGCTTTTTGTTTTTTTTACAATAATAACATAATGTTTTATGTATATAAATCTCTAGAGTAGAAGTGCCGGACAAGTCTTCTGGGGTTTATTTTTATATAAAATCCTACAAAGTACATGCTACAAGCCGAGCCAAAAAAACCCCCAAATTGAGACCCCGGCCGAATATAAAGGACTCGCTTCTCAGATACAAGTTTAAAATACAAGAGGAAGAAAAGGCCAAAGACAAAAGAAGC